AAAAAGACAATAAGAAAAGAAATCATTATTAGTGTCCTGGAAACAGATTACTCATATAATTCTCTTAAAATTCAGTATACAATTTTTAGGACACATTATATATGGAAAATATATATATATACACTGCTAATTTCTCACAAATAGATTAGGGTTAAGAGATAAATGGATGCATGGCTAAGAATAATGGTGGTACTGTAGAAAATACTGAGCTGAATTAAAGTGCTGCTAGACCCAATGTAGCTTGTATTTTTTACGTCTACAAACAGTAATTTCAGCATTCAAAATGTTTCGAGCACACACACCACAGGCAGTAATATCTAGCTTAAGTGGCTTCATGGCACAGCTGGTTTCAGTGATGCTTTCATTCGGAAGTCTTAAGAAATCAAATGACAGCTTAAGTGCCTTGCAGAAATGCTCACTCATCTTCGCACCGTCCTGCGGGTTGCTTGGGAAATCACAAAGCTCTGGAACAGCAATGCCAGTTGAAAGGGGAGGTTGTGACAAACGTTGTGTCATGACACCGTGGAACAAGCACTGTAGGCTATTTACAGCCCAACGCTCTTCCTGGGTTTTACACTGGAAGCCAGCATAAAACTGCTATTGACTTCAATGAAAGCCATAAATGCTTGTCAGCTTAAGACTGAAGTACAGTGTACTTGTGTAACCAGTTCAAAGGACTCTCCCAAATTCCTGGGAGCACCGGATGAGACAATATTTATACATGTTAAGATGGAAAGCCTGATTCTCCACCGCCTTCCACTTGCATATTCGGCAAATCTTGAGTGCCGCTTCTGTTTTGCCAAGTCCTTCACTTCAGCCAAGCTTTTGTCCTCTGAATGTTTTCAGCCTGGTGAGGCAACTGGCTGTCTGCCAAGGGTGCTTGGGTCACCTCACCTCTGAAGTTCACACAGCAACAGATTTTGTGGGAATATTAGTGAACTTGTTAGGCTTGTTTGTTTAACTTCTTTCTGAACAGATGTCTATTAATTAGTAGATTACAATATTAAAGTAGCATTGTTTATGCTAACGTGTTTTTTAGGTGATTGATCCAGAGTGTGTTCAGGAATGAGGAAAAAAAATTGTCCCAATTATGGGTTAATTTATAAACTCCCTTTGGGGACTCGTATCTTTAGTGGAAACTTAAAGCAAGAAGCTGAGTTACGGTTTTGCTCGCTATCAAAAAAGTTTCTTTTTATTTCCAAAATAAAGCAAAATTAAATATGATATTTACAGATCTATTCAGTGATGCTCTCACTTTTCTAATTCAAAAGTACATTTTTATTTTTAATAGGTATGTCACATTGTACTTAAGGCATTGGCATTTCTAGTGTGAGTACTCATTTGGCATTTCTGAGTCGTTACTGCTGGCTATTTTTTTTGGATCTTGTATATTTTGAATACCTGACACACCTACATAAAGAAAAGATTTTAGACTGTGACTAAATATGCTGATACCAGACATTATGGTCTTACTGATATCAGCTGGCCATATCCTGAATTATACTTCAAAGTTCAATTAGTTTAACTTCAGAGGACAAAGTACAAACTTCATTACAGTCTGCCGTTTATGAAATGTTCTGGGTAGAGTTGACTCTTGACTGCTATTTGGAACAGTTAGTCATTATATTGCCTACAAAAAGACATATTTGCTGCTAGAGTAGGACAAGAGGTAGTGGCTTTAAACTGAAAGAGGGAAGATTTAGACCAGATAGAAAGAAGAAATTCTTTACTTTGAGAGTGGTGAGACCCTGGCCCAGGTTGCTCACAGAGGTAGTAGATGCCCCATCCCTAGAAACATTCCAGGTCAGGTTGGATGGGGATCTAAGCAACCTGATCTAGTTGAAGATGTCCCTGCTCGTTGCAGGGGGGTTGGACTAGATGGCCTTTAAAGGTCCCTTCCAACCCAAAGTATTCTATGATTCTATGATATTAAGTCCTTCCTAGCAAAAATCCTAGGCAACCAAGCAAGGCAGTGCTTGGCTTTTAAGCATATTCTGCTCAACAGAGAATTACGTGTGTGTCCATAAACAGAGCTTTCATTATATTAAGTCCTTTCTAGCAAAAATCCTAGGCAACCAAGCAAGGCAGTGCTTGGCTTTTAAGCATATTCTGCTCAACAGAGAATTACGTGTGTGTCCATAAACAGAGCTTTCATTATTTCTGCATAATCCACCAAAGGATGAGATCCATATGTATGAGTGTGTTGATCTGAGGAGCCACCCATAAGTGCTTGTAAAAAGTGCTAAACAAAAATGTTGGGTGAAAACCTCCCTCCTTTCATGGATACAGTTAGATCTGAAGAGGCACATCTCTCTCACATGCAAAACCACTGGCAAAGTTGGAGCCTGTGCACTAAAAGTGCTCTACAATTGCCATTGGTTTTAATGGAGTTGAAGCCAGTCTCACAGGCTACTGCTACATGCTGGCACCCACAAATAAATATGTCTGGGATTTTCTTATTAGCAAATAATAATTTTTAAGTACAAAAAAAAACCACATTCATTTTGAGGCTATGGAACTAACCAGGAAGCTCCAATGCAAGCCAAAATGTCGTTGACATTCTAGCTAGAAGTTATTTCAGACAACAGAGATAGGGTTGGGTGCATCTATAACATCACTGAGGAAACCTCAGTTGTGGCATAACACACTGTCATATTGCCTGAAAGCTTCCTGTCCTGAACTAGTGCTCATAGTCAGAGGTGGTTTCATAGGGCAGAGTTCCACTACCATAGAATAGGTAAATCCCATTCTACATGGTATAGATAAATGCATCTTCATTTCACAGCATCACCATTTCCCTCAGAAAAGAGAACTTGGTCTATTTACAAAATCTGAACAAGACTGCAGAATGAATCCACGAGACATGCATACATAAGACTGCCAGAGTGCAGTTGGATCATCTGGATGGTAACAATTCTGAATCTTAATAAAAGAGTGGAGAGGGGTGTTAGAAGAGAGAGGGAAAAGAGACATAAAGGGATTTCTTGTCTTTTTTTGCCTCTTTTTTTTTTTCTTTTTTTTTTTTTTAATGCATATGTTCTTTCGGTATGAAAGAGAAACCATTTCCCTCAGAAAAGTGAACTTGGTCTATTTACAAAATCTGAACAAGACTGCAGAATGAATCCATGAGACATGCATATATAAGACTGCCAGAGTGCAGTTGATTCATCTGGATGGTAACAATTCTGAATCTTAATAAAAGAGTGGAGAGGGGTGTTAGAAGAGAGAGGGAAAAGAGACATAAAGGGATTTCTTGTCTTTTTTTGCCTCTTTTTTTTTTTCTTTTTTTTTTTTTTAATGCATATGTTCTTTCGGTATGAAAGAGAAACAGAAAGAGAAGAATGTGTAAAAACAGATGTGGAACTACAAAGCCTCCCCACAGACTCCTTGAGAAGGAAGATGTACATAAAGAGCAGTCTGTGTGGCCATTAAAGCACAAACTGATTCAGAGAGAGGATATGAAAAAATGTTACAGTAAACACATAATTCATGGCAAAAGTTGAGATGTATATAACTATCGCAGAGTAGCAGGGAATTAGTCTTTCTTGCATGATTAAATACAGCTAGTGTTTGCAAACATGAGGCACTCACTGCATGGCTGATGTAGAGCATGTGAAGTTTGTCAGAAGTAGTACATTTCTTAGGCAAATCCGATATAGCTATAGCAGGGGAAGACAAGCTGGCAGGGTAACTTATAGCCTTAGTCCATAGCAGCTACAACCACGCCACTGTGACATTGCTGATATAAATAAGATCCTCCTTTCATCTGAGAATCTCATTCAATCTTCAGCACAGAATGATATGTGGTTCTTAATACTGGCCAAGGCAAATTGCAATAGCAGTAGCCTCTCTGAACGACAAGGACAGCTTCCTACCATAGTTCTGAGTCACCTTAAGGAAAATGTCTCCCTATCTTTTCTATAAAATTTTCAAGGGTTATAGATCATTTTCTGATTAATTTACAGTCTGAACTTATATATTTTTTTCTGTAATCCTATTCTGACTTTGACATTTGTAGTCCAAAAAAAAAAATCCCTAAATGCCCAATGCTTTTACCACATTTGAATTGTCTAGTGGTGTTTTGGTTAGGTACTGCTTCTCATACAGTGCTCCTGCAATTTTGCATTCCATTCTTTTTTAAATTATTTTCCTTATAGTTTCTAACACTGAAGGATATTGGCTTTTAATAATGAGAGGCATTTAAAATGTACACAGGGATTGTATGGTAAGTGGAAAGTGTGATTTATGCCTTTGATTTGACCGCTCACATATCAACCACATAGTATCTATCATTGTTTTTAATACAGTGAACTTTTTTTGTAAAGAAGTTGTGCTTTTCGCTTCATCTTCTGTTGCTGTGGTCTCCTCAATCCCTATCATCTTCATCAGCTTCTATTCTGAAACCCCAGCCTGTTTCAGTACGTGGCCCCAAAATTTGTGGTTATTTTCTGGATTTCACAGGCCCACATTTCAGACTTACCTTTTCTTAACAGTGTATGTTGCTGAAAGCGGTTTCCCATCGCGCAGTTCCCAAGCGTCATTATCATACAGGCATGTGTTCTGAAACACATTTTGTGCTAAATTGTTTCATTATATTTGAAAGCAAATACGCATACATCCAACACAACTGCAGTGCTGAGTTGGGTGGTCCCTACTGCTTTGTGGTAGAGGCAAGAAGAAAACATCATGTGTGAGTTCAACACCGTTAAGTTGTTTATCAGTAACGCAGAAGTGATGTGGCTGAATCAGCATAATCTCTGCTGAAAGAGGTTTCTGGTGTTAACTCTTCTGTTGCCTGTCATCATGCACAGAGCATAGACAGAACGATTCCCTATTCTGTCATCTCTTTTAACTGGAAATGCCTACAAAAGCCTGTAGAGGCTTTGTATCAAGAATGACAGCAGCATCTGTCCCGCAGGGAATACTTGTCTTTGCTTTTCCTCTAGATTTCAATGATACATAATAAAAATACAACTGAAATAATTAAGTGTGATAGCATCTTTGACTAAGACAGTCTTTATTTTCCAGAATAATTATATCACAGAGCTTCACTCTCCTACTCAGACTGCTTCAAAGCTTCTCCAGCTGGGCATGTTCCTCACGCACAGCATCAGATGGTATTACTGTCTCCAAATCAGTCGGTACTATCATTCAAATGGCAGCGTCCTGATTCAAACCTAAAACCATAGCACTCTCATTAATTATAGTAACGATTTGGAGGAGATCGCTCTTGCACATTACAGCCATACACATGAATTAAAACATCAACAAAACACAGTTGTGTTTGGAGTTTGGTAGTAACAGACGGGTGTTCATGTGCAGCTATTTCCCAACAAATGGCTAAACTCTTTTCTGTTTTACATAGCAAAATTGTATACTATTTAAGCCAAAGCTAAACTTATCCAGAATTCTTCCCAAGTACCTGAAGTGTTTGCAGTGAAGACCCAAAGTTAATTTTCACTCATTCCTGTATATCTCTGCTGAAGCTAATAGAGTTGCGTAGGTCTGATGAGAATTTGGCTTCGGTTTTCCAAGCACATCTGTTCTTTTCATGACAGCCATTTCTTTGTGGGTTATGGTAGTTAGAACAGAGCCAGATGCTGATCCCTTCCTCAAAGCAACTTATTCTTTGAGTGATCCCACTGATATAAGCACCTTTTTTTTTTTTCCCCAATGAACAACCAGCCTATGCATGACAGTGATGCACTATTGGAAAATTATTTGTTATGTTCTCTTTATCTGTTCTTTCTCCTCAGCCAACAAACACCCTAATAGGTACAAGCAGCGTCACTCGGCACCAGTTAAGTGCTATTGAATCCTGAGGGAATGTAGGACAGTTTACCTCACTAGCAGGATAAATCTTATTTATATTGCTAGATGCTCTTATGTTTTATACTGGCAAGGTAAGCTTCACCATCTGCCAGGGATTTATAGGAAACCTAGCAGAAATGGACAGAGAAGATACTCTTAATCAATATACCCCTTTTATTTCCTCTCTTCCTTACCTTCATAGACTCATAGCCACTAAGCCAACATCATTCACCTGTGTCGGTTGCTGCAGGAGTTCTGGCTCAGCAGGGGACACAGATGCCTTGAACCACTAAGCAACTACCCCTCATATATTTTTTATATGCTGAGGGCTCCATGCCTGTGCACCTGCTTTGGGATAACACATTTTCATTCAGCCGTTGAGGGCTTTTGAATTCAGTTGAGAAAACAGCTCATCTGAATTCTCCACAGCTTGTTTGCTTCTGCATCTAATTCATTACCTGATCACTTCTAATTAGAACAGTTGCAATGGAAGAGTTGTTTTGTTCTGTGCAGTTAACAGTTGTTTCCTCCTAGTCAGGACAGAGGACCTTTCCAGGCAGGGTGATCTGCAAGACAATATTGAAAAATTTGGGTTTGTTTGCAGATTAGAAGGAAATGGTTAATGTTAAAAACTTGAAAGACAATACTCAGGTTTTCTGCCACAAGAGATTTCCCAGTAGTCAAAACATTTTATTTTTATATTATTTTTCTGGTATTGTTAGCACTTTCCATTTCTAACATCTATTTTCCAAAATTCATGGTTTAGTGTAATGATAATAATACTTCTCCTTTCTTTTCTTTCCTTTGCTTTTCTTTGTTTTTCTTTACTTCTCTTTTTCGTGATCTTCTTCTATACTCATAGCCTAATTTGCCTACTGATTCATGTGCTTTAGACCCTCAGTGAGAAACTGTTATTTTTTGCCTTACAACAAAAAGGTACTATCATTTTACTTAAGAAAAACTGTATGTCACAAACAAATGAACAGTGTTTGGGGCATTATCATAATTTTCTTAAACCTATATGTTGTTTGTACATGGACTGTTGCTGTTGTCATTGGTGGAAACCAGTAGCACAGAGGAAAGAATGCTGCTCTTTGAGAAATGATTGTTTGAAAGCATAAACAGAAAGGTGCTCACAAGCAGGAGGCAAGATGAAGCACTACTTTTGGTTTTGAAAAAATTAGAAGAGTAGTAGGTGTTTAAGTTCCACTATGTAATAATAATTACACTTAAAACACCTCTGTAGGCTACCAGCTTTGAAGTGTGCAAAAAGAAAAGTAATGACGGATAAGTGTTTGTGAGTTTTTAATTTGTAATGGCCAGAGAGTCAACTCAGCCCAGTTTGATACTAATTAAGGATTTATTATCTCTCTTTCAGCTATGTGTCCCATTGTACACTAAAATGATACATTTTGACATTATTTTTTTTTCTACTAGTATCCTGGAGCATAAAAAGTGAATGTCACTGTACCTCAGTAATTTAGGTATCATTATACAATTAGCTGAACTGCTTGCTTGCATAATTTTAAATCAGCTGTGTGGTTTTGAGTTGCAGGTTGCACTTGTAACTGATTTGTAATACAGCCAAGATGAGAGCTGGTGTCTCAGTTCTCTGCTCTTCTATTAGCTCTAAAACAAAATTAGACATATAAGAAACAGTAGAATGTCATTAGGCAGCTAATTAATCAAATTTACTTAAAGTATCTGAAGCATTATTCATCTAGAAGATGTATTATGTGCATTAAAATGAATCTAACATAACTTCCAGCTTGTAGCTCATACCTTTCTGTTAGCCTGGCTCAGCTTTGAACTGAAAGATCTGAATTAAACACAAAGATTTGAACTCAAGTCAGGTACAGCTTTTTCTCTAAATCAGCTGTCTGCTGGCTGTCTTCGAGCAAGAGGATTCTCTTTTTCTGGGCTTGTTACCCTAAGGCTCCTTTGACTATGTTTCATCTACCCTTGGTAGTTTAGTCTTAGGTCCAATGACCCACCTGCTGGACCTCTTTTCATCCCCTATTTTCAGGATACAGCAGGATTTAAAACTAATATCCCAACTCATAAATCCGCAGAGCTCCATTGAGGTTATTGGAGCAACTTTCATCAGCTGATGGCTTTGATGGCCTGGTTCTCTGTAAATAGGAAAGTCAATTCTCAGTATTTGTGTCTTGTGTGCTGTGCAGGATCTGTCTCATGTGGCATTGTGTCCTCCCAGTCAGCGCAGGGAGGCCTAGGATCAGCTTTTAGTCTTACCTCAGACATAAGCAAACCCCTGAGAGTAGGATCAGCCACATTCACGTTGCTGCAAATAGTCAACCTCCTTCTCAGATGTGAGTGACAAACCTTCCCTGCCATGGGACCTTCACTCATGAAAGCCACTGGTTCTGTACCCAGGGCACCAACAATGTTAGAAGCTGTCTGAAACACAAGAAAAAGTGAGGTGAAGCTTGAAATTTTGAGGATCAGCATCAAAAAGCTCCCACACAGAGACCTGCCCACAGCAGGTAGCAATCCATTCTTGTGCATCAGAGGTGTGCACTGCCAGGGCTTCAGGGTGGGATTGTCTTTGGTTCCAATACAATTCCTTCACCCTTCCAGTCCAAATGCCAGCTCCTGCGAGAAGAGCAGGCAGGTGATTACATTATGTGCCAGTGTTTTATACAATGAGTGTACTCAAACTTATGTCCACTCACGACAAGTTTTGCACAGTACCTTGGCAGCATGCCCTGCCTATCATCTCTGCCACTACTTTTCTCGAAAGAAAAATATTCTCTACAAGTTATACCAGCTGCCACATCCCTTTGGTTCATGCTACCTGATCTGTGAACCAGACAAGCAAGACACGGAACTAGACCAATATCAATAAGCACACTGTTTTGCAGGAAACTCCTACTTACATTGAGGTATGGAGTGTTCTTCTTCTAAGTTCCAGTCTTGGACTAAAAGCAACAAGAATTAGATACCAGGAAAAAAAAAGTCTATTTTTAGCATGTTTACGTTTATATTCCATGTAATTCTACTACTTGACACTATGCCAGTACTGTTGCTTGATATATCAGAAAATTACATGTGAATTTTTTGCTTCTTACTTATACTTCAACCTATTTTCTTTTCAATACTACCCAGTCTTTTGTTTCTTTATTTAATGGATGAGGACAAAAACTGCCACAGGGCAATTTATGGTGCCTCTTTTTTCTCACAAGTTTTAAGAGTGTTTATCCTCTTGAGTCTCACATAGAGGGGTTAAAATATGAGTTTCTTCCTCCTCTTCTTTCAAATTCATGTAGAATTAGTTACACTTCTCCCTGCTATAAACATGGAAAGAGAATTTCTGGGTGGGCTGGGAGTACTGGGCAATTCTCCTAATCATTGTCTGGTTCTATTTTCCCTTTTTGAAATCAAATTAATTAGTGGCAAAATATTCCTCCTTCCTGTCCTTGCTTTATCTTTTCAGAATTTCCTATTTAGAGTTCTTGATTCCTAAATAATGAAGCAATAAATTTTAGTTTTAAAAAATGTTGTTTCTCTGGGAGGAAAATAAGTTGTTCTCTTGAATTTGGAATAACCTGTGGGTGGTCCTGGATTCTCTCCAAGATCTACTGAAGATGAGATAAACCAGCCTGACCACTGTGAGAGGAAGACAGTGGGTGAGAGGAAAAATTTGTATTTTCAGATATAGTTGCATCAGAAAAACTAGAGCTAAACTTTGCCACTGATCTTCTCCTTTGGTTCAGTACCCCAAGATGGTAGGTGATCCCAATTCGATATTTCTTCTCTGCTATAAGTCCTTCATTAAATAAAGCCTTGAAAATAATAAAGCTTTTCTCCTGTTATTCAGCATTTTTTAACTTTCTTCATACAAAAAGCCAGAATTATTTAATATTATTTACTGTAATTTTGCTCCCAGTTTGGAACAAGGCTGGTTTTGACAGCAAACATTTTGTGCCTCACATTTAGATATTACAAAATTAAAATCCGTTGTAGCTTAAGTCAAGTTCTCTTTTATTTTTCCTTTCTACTTTCCACAGTGTGCCCACAGACAAGAGAAGAGAAGAGAAAAATGTCCAGATAAATAGCTCTCACTTTGATCTATGTGTACTTTTGCTGTTCTTACAGACAGAGTGCTTTTAAAATTAAAAATGGAACTTTTTCTATGCAGGCAGGACATTAGACAACAAGACCCTAAATACATCAGAACACCACATCTTCTGCTAAAAAGTGAAAGACAAGAAAAACTGAAATCGTCAATGCCAACAGAAATGTTACTATTAATTTTAATGAAGTTGGGGGTTCTTCCAATGATTAAAACATTGGTTATGTGTTTTCATTTTCCTGACTCCCAAAATATACTCCAGAACCACATATTGCTACTGCTTTCCAAAATTTCAAACCAAAATAAAATTGGGGTGCGGCTATGTTTGAACAGGCACCTCATAATTTGCAGGTACTACAGCAACAGATCTACTCATTGAAGAGGTCCTACTCAGCATTTTGAATAATCTCTGAAGCCAAATTCCATATTATGGGGCAATTTCTATAATGGGAACATGCATCTGATGTCCTGAGTATTTGTAATTTTAAGACAGATTGCATCCCACAGTTTACTCCCATGCTCGTCATACCTTTCTGCAGAGAGGCTGATGAAGACAGAAGGACTCATATGGTCACTCAACTACTTACAAGCCTACAGCCACCAGGCTACTCTCCTCAGGGCCCTCATGTCATTTTCAGAGAGACCCTTGACAGGAGTTTTCTAACACTCCTGTCGCAGCAAATTGGTTGCCTGGTCTGTCTCATCAAGGGATAGAATGAGCACTGGGGAAAAGGATGTGAGGGAAGAGAAGAAATGCTAAGACCTAAAAACCAAGTGGAACTCCATAGAAAACACAACCCCAGAAAAAAGCTGGAAATGCAAATTAGTTCACAGTTCCTTACAACACAGCTAGGAGAAGCGTGATGAAAAGAATAAACCTAAGACTGCACTTCTCACTGCTGAATATACTAATTCATTACTTACCACTGGACTCCCAAATCCTGCAGAAATGATGGCCTCACAGGCAAACCTGGAGCCTTTGAGGAATGTTTAAAGATGTCTGAATTAGACAAAATATGTTTAAAATCTCATGCGGGCAGACCTCTCCCCACTGAACACCTTCAGAAGCCTAGGCATAAATTATTCCAACAAATGTCAGCTGTTGGACACCATAGGGGATTTCTTTTTTGCAGCATTTTTATGAAATATTAAGTGTCACTTAGTGTAACTGTGTGATCTTGGTTGCTTAACTGACTTCAAGGGATTAACTCCTGTTCAGGGATACTCTCTGGGATTGAAGAAAAGGCAGCCAATGGACTAATGTGTGGCATGCTACCAGGTCTAGGTTGGAAGAGTGAACTATCTGGGCCCAATAACATTTGAATAGATTTAACTGTGTGGTCTGTAGATAAATCAATCTTATTCTGCCTCGTGGGCTGGTACCCTGCAAATAAGGAAAGAACTTAAGTACCTCAATAGGCTGACTAGAGGATCATAAGACAATAGTGTATGTAAGGGTTATAAAATAAAGTGTTTTTTACCCTCTGGGTGTTTGAACAGGAAAATAAAGGCGTAATCGATGTGTAGATGAGAATCTCTGGTTCTATGATTTAGGGGAGAAATGGTGTACCAGGCAGAAAAGACTCCTAGAGGACTTTGACTCACTTCCTAAGCTGACCAATTTCCTGACAGACAAAACCATACAGAATGATATGTTTATTATTTTGGCTACGACTGTTTTCTGTGCTATTTAAAGTAAAGGGTAATTGTGGTTAAAGTCTCAGAAAATCTGGATGTCTTCTTACAACTAACAGAAGACGTGGGGAGTGCATTGTAAATCCAGCACACCAAAATATTCGTGAACTACTGTGGAGCCCAGGTATCGTCAGTGGTCCTGGGAATTGGGTGAGAAGAGAAATGTCCCAGACAGGGAGCCTACGTCCTGAGAGTTACTGCCTGCTCGAGACTCTCAATAGCACATGGGTATAATACTTAAGGACCTCACGAGCATCTACCCAGTGCTGTGGCATGACTGAAAATGCCTTTGTTGTTTTAAATGCCTTTGTTGTTTTATTAACCGCCCCTAAAAATGCCTTTGTTGTTTTATTAACCGCCCCTATCTTTAATTTAACTATTCCCATATGGGCAACTGCCCTTACAAAACACATCTGTGTATGTTTTCAAGTCGGATGTTAAAATACTAAACCATCCAAAAGAAGCATTCGTTCCCAGCATCTAATGTTTTTACCTACTCTGATTTTGTAAGCATGTAGGAAATCCCTATAAGCAAAACTGTCCTCAAAGTTAAAATATCGTAAAGAAGTACATTTATCTGAGATAGGTCACAGAGGACCTTCACTGGCTGGGAAGTTCAGATGCAGGTTTTTTATTGATAACTAATATTTCCTAAAGCTTTATAAGCGTCCAAGCTCTATTTTACTTCATGGTGAGATGGTGGTTGTATTAAGCTTTTTATTCAGATGATCTGCTCTTGCTGATGTGTGTTACTAACCAGCATGTTGGTGATAGAAGTCAGTGAGGGCTGTCTGTAATAGGAGCTTTCCTTTTCCCATTG